GGGTAACACGGGTGCTCCCCACTCCAGGCAGGGCTGCAGGGTCCTGCTCCCCCCCCAGCCACCCCCTCCCTGGCCGAGGTCCCCCAGCCCCACGGGGGGAGGCGAGGCGAGCCTTGGCTCTGCAGCGCGCTCAGCCCTGACCAGCGCATTGTGCTCTTGCCCAACGCAAACAAAACCCGAAAGCGCACAGCGCAGCTGGGTCCCCCGTGATACCGCTTAGCAAAGACCCCCAAACATGCCGGGCCCCGCCACGCGCCAGCCCCGCAAACACCTCCTTTCCAAAACCACCTTTGAAATGGTCCCTTTTTCTTCCACCTCTCATTCCTCCTCCTGCTTTCTCAACCACCTTGGTGACCAACAGCAGGAATCGGGCTCCCAGGGCTCTTAAAATCCTTACTGGCCTGAAACCTCCCCCCCCAGAAGCACTGAGCTCATCCCAGCTGCCGCATCCCCGGCCCCTGAGCTGCCTTTGGCAGGAGCTGTGGGAGCTCAGGGTTGCATGAGGCAACCCAGGGCTGCAGGAAACGCAGCAGGTGGTTCAAAGTTTTTCTCGGAAATAGAGTTTAAAGCAGCCCCCCGGCCTGGTGGAGCGGGTAGGAGGTTGCTGTTTGCCATGCAGTAAGCAGGAGCCGGCGGCACTGCAGGTAAAGCAGCCCCTTGCGTGAGCTGAGAGAGCCGGGCTCAGCGCCAACAGGGCGATGGGTTGCTCCGCTTTCCTGGAAGGGAGAAGACTTGTGGGCGGATGTTTTTGGAGAAGACGAGCTCCACGAGCATCAGGCCAAACAGCAGCCTCGCCAAGTCTGCGAGAGCCGAGCGGCATTAGGCAATGAGAGCCGGGACAGACTGGGGCGGGGGGAAGAGTTGGGAGGGTGGGGTGTGGGCTGACCCTGTCCTGGGAGGGTGTTCTCGAGGTCCCAGCCGTGCAGCTTTTCCAGGTCCCCCGCTCTGGGCTCTTCACAGTGACCAGCAGTGGGGAGAGGGGCTTGCAGGCATCCCCCAGCCCCGCAGCTGCTGCCAAGCCGCCCCTGGAGCCGCGGGGTGAACGGCCCGTGGGCACCTTGGGGGAGAGCAGGCTCCTGCGGACGGCACTAACAGAAAGGGAAGGCAAAAGCTTGCCGGTGCCAGGCGGAGCTGCCGTAGGGAACAAACCCAGCATGCCGGCATCTGGTGAGGGGCTCCCCTGGCCCCGGGCTGCGCATCCCGGACGTGGGCAGGTTTGAGAGGCACAGGCTGCTCCAGGAGAGTCACCAGGTCCTGACTCTTCATCTCTCCCCGCTGTGACATCCCCGCTTTCAGAGCAACCTCACCCTTCCCAGCCCTGGCGTGAGCTTAGAGGGGGCTTAACGCAAAAAACCCGAGAGGCTGAGAAAAGCAGAACTATCCCGGGAATTCAATGTAAGTTTGACATGCGCCAAACTAGAAGACAGTTTCCAGTTTCCCAAACTAGTTTGAAATTTAACAACAAGCAGCAAGCGCCGTTGGAGCCAAAACCTTATTGCACCCATGCAGATAGGCACAGGAGAACCTCCTGCTCTGGCACATCCCACCCCAGCCCCTGCAGAGACTCTCTGGCTTCATTCCCAGTCACACTGATGCTTCCAGCACCAGGCAAGGCTGCCTCACTGCTTGCTTGTACAAAAGCAGATCCTGGGTTTTCTAAGTTTGACATTAATGGAAAGTCCTGAAGACTGGACAAGATCAACCCAATGGCCACATGTGCAACATCCTCAGAAATCGAGCGTTTCATTTTAGGGAGTGACTGGAAGAAGAACCCAGCTCGTGCCCATCTCCAAGCTGAGAGCTCATTGACACAACACTATGCAAAGATTTTTTTTCAGGAATACCTGCAAAACAGCCCAGAGGTGTGAAGAGGATGGGAGAATCTTTAATCAAGGGGGTTTGAAGTCACAACCGTAACCTGCTAGCCCTCACCGCCTTCGTTTTCTACAGTTGCTGGGGATGGAGAAAGCAGAGTGAGTTGGGCAAGAACCGAGAGTGCAGGCAGGCACTACTCAATTTCTTCACCACAAGACCTGGTCACTCATGAAACCTCTGTGCCTCAGTTTCCCCACTTGTACGAGATGCCTACGGATGTCGGTCTTTATAAAAGGCTCCAAGACCCGCAGGTAAGAGCACACTAGAGGAGCCCGTGGCTCAGCCTCACGTGTCTCAGGGGGGATTTCTGGTGGCACAGACACCGCCAGGCAAAGACCTTGAGCCACTCGCTATCACGGATTTTACACCAAAAAGTCTCTGTGTGTGTGTGTATAAACGCACACGGAACATTTGGCACCTAGTGGGGTATAAAATAATACCGCCTGTTGCATTACTCGTCTGGCTGCCTGTGGCAGGGTTGCTTTGCCCTGCCGTGATTTCTTCCTGCAGCCGCGAGGGCAGAGCGGGGGCGATGCCAGGGAAGGCGGGTGCCGGGCTGCCTACCTGCCTGCCCGCGGGAACGTGTGGTTTCAGGGAACAGGATCGGTGCTAAACCTCGGTGCCAGCAGGCCGGTTACAAAACAACTCCTGCAGCGAAAAAGCAGTGTGCCTTTCCTGTGCCAAAGGCAGCGCACATCAGCCCGCACGCTTCAGGGGTGCCTTTCCTGGCCTCTGCCACCACGATGTCCGTCAAGCTCAGAACCACACAGGAAAAAAAGAAAAAAAAAAGTCACCCGAAACTGAAAGCTGCTCCCGCCCTCCAGCCCCCTCGGGCGCCTCATCCCTGCCAGGTGACAGCTCAGAAACCTCCCCTGCCCTTTCCTCCTGCTTTAAAAGAGTCTGGGGGTTGGCGGGGGGGGGACGACAACTGCAGCTCTAATAACATTTTCAGGTTGACCTTATTTCTCATGGCTTCATCGTGTTGATTTGATCCGGACACATACTGCTTCCTTGTAGTCGCTGCCAAAGGACCGTCTTATCTTCGCCGCCGCGAAGCTCTGCTTTCAATTCAGCGCAGACGAACGCGCCAGCCAGCCAAGGGCGTTTACAGCACTAACTGTGCTGCCCTTTGTCTCAAAATAAATTCTGAGGCCGAAATATCTTTTTTTTTTCCCCTTCTGTTGTTGTTAACCAGTTCATCGCTACCTCCAAGTCTTTTGTTCCATTCCAAACAAGATCTTGTTTTACTTTCAAGTTCCAAGCCCAGAACAAGTTTGCAGTGGGAAGGAGGAAATCCACACTGAAAAACACGTCAACACCCCAGGAAATCACTTCTTGGGACATTGTAAATAAAGCGTACAAAGAAAGCGAGCCCAGGGCTGTGACCCCACTGCCACGCGTGCGCGGATGCCACTGGCACCCACCACTCTGCCCCGATGCGCATCTGCCCTGGGGGCACCTCGGGACATCTCACCCAGCCACCGCTCTCCCCCAGGCATTAATCAAGCCTGAAAAAGAGGAAAACAAAACAGCAAATCTCTTTCCTTCAGCAAGGATTCAAATAGCTGTAGGAGGCAGGATGCTCGTTAAACAGACAGGAAAACGTTAATGCTCTTACAATGTGAGTGAGCAGAGGGAACCCCGCGCTGCTGCAGGCAGGAGCCCCGTTTTCATCCATCCCGTCCATGCCCGGTCTCCCGGAGCCGTGCTGCTCCCAACGCCTTCCCCAAACGGTTGCAGCCCCACGGGGACTGGTGCCGAGGTCCCACCGAGGCCCCAGAGGGAGGCAATTTGAATGTGATCTCTCTCCCCTTCCAGAGTGAATTGCCTTTTGCTGCTCAGACCTTGGATTCTGAGCAACAGACCTCAGGGCTGCTGCAGCAGCGAAGCCAATGCCGG